ACTGAAAAAGTCAAAACCCCCAATTTCTACTTCTAGGTAGGGTTTTGTTTTCTTCTCCTCAAAATTAAACAACCTCAATCCCTCCCCTCCACAGATTTTCTCACATAGTCATACAAATATACAATTTATAGGGTTTAATTCGTTTTCATTTTTAGAAAAAGCAAGAAAATGGCCTCCCCAACAGCTCAAATTCACGCTCTTGGACTTGGGGCCGCCACTCACTTGGCATCCTCTAACCAAACCACTAGAAATCCCTTTAAAACAGTATTTTTTGGACAACGTCTTAATCAGACGGCGTCTGTTGGTTTCAGGCTGAAATGTAAGGCCAGAAGCAGCTCCCGAGGAAATCCCACCTGGACGCCATTACGCGTAGTATCTGAAAAAGTTGTTGGAATTGACCTTGGAACAACTAATTCTGCGGTGGCGGCGATGGAGGGAGGGAAGCCTACGATAGTGACCAATGCTGAAGGGCAGCGGACCACTCCTTCGGTCGTGGCCTATACGAAGAATAAAGATAGGTTGGTGGGCCAAATTGCGAAGCGGCAGGCAGTGGTGAATCCGGAGAATACGTTCTTCTCTGTGAAGAGGTTTATTGGGAGAAAAATGTCAGAGGTGGACGACGAGTCCAAGCAGGTTTCGTACAACGTCGTCAGGGATGACAATGGGAATGTCAAGCTTGAGTGCCCAGCCATTGGAAAGCAGTTTGCTGCAGAGGAAATTTCCGCTCAGGTATATAAAAGTCGAATTACTATTTACTATCTTTTCTTTCTGCTTTCACGTGTGTTCTTTAATGCCTGCATTTTCTTGGGGTTGAACTGAAATGACAAGCATTTGTTCTCTTTGGTGACTTGAATACTTAATATTCACATCCATTGGATTGAATAAACTTGGAATATCTGAATAATAATTCCAGTGTTCTAAGGTATGGGTGCTTTAAAGTTTGAATGATTTTCCCAATATTTAAGGGGTTGTAATTATGTGATTGCTTTGCCATATGCATGTAAATCTGCTGGTATTTTGTTTTACGGTTGTGGACTTCTGAATATTATGCTTCCTTTTCTATTACTTTGTTTATTGTGGACTTTTGATTGTTATGTTTCTTTTTTCAATTGAATTGGAAAAAGGGAGTCTGGAAAATTTACCCACAAATATTTAATTGAAATCCAGTTAAATTTTTAATTGTTGTATTCTATTTCCTAGACAGGCTTTTGAGCTAAAACAATGATGGTGAGAATGACATATTTGGAAAGAGGTTGAGGTTTCTGGAATGGATGAGAAATTTAGTGCTATGACTTAATCAACTACTCTTGTTTTATTGATAACTACACATGACCCATTTCCGGAGTTTGTTTATTCATGTTTATAGAAATGATAAAGCTACATGTATGGAGGGAGGTAATATTATGAGTTCCCCATATCTTGACTTTCCAAATCAGTAGATGATATTGAGTTAACTGGCCTCTCGTTGCTTTTGAAATTCCTTAGATGTTAGAATTGAAAATCTTTAGTTGTCTATGTGCCTACTAAATTTCATATTTCACATTTATTCATATATTCATACCCACTCCATATTGGTATGTTCATATTTTTGTACTTTTATACTGGATTATTGGCTATGAAAGAGAATGGGAAAAGAGTTTCAGGCATGGACTATATCATTCTAAAGAGGCCTTCCTCCCAGAATAATCACCACACCCATTTTAGTCTCGGTTTTTTTATTCACAACAGCTGGTGCCCATTGATGCATATATCAAATGACACATTGCATCTAATTTGGATATTTGTGTGCATTGTTTGTGTCTCTCTGTTATATAGAGTTTTATTCCTTTTCTTTGAGTGATCTATCACTTTATTTATTTTTCATTTATAGTAAATCTGGAGAGATGATTGCTATGGGAAGATCATATAACTAGTGCTTGAATCTAGACATTTTTCTGTATGAATTACTTCTAATGTTTCTCATTTGCTAATCTTAGGTTCTGAGGAAGCTTGTAGATGATGCATCTAAGTTTTTGAATGATAAGGTTACTAAAGCTGTAGTCACAGTTCCAGCTTACTTCAATGATTCACAGAGGACATCAACCAAGGATGCTGGTCGTATTGCTGGCTTAGAGGTTCTCCGGATTATAAATGAACCTACTGCTGCTTCTTTGGCTTATGGTTTTGAAAAGAAAAGCAATGAAACCATTTTGGTTTTTGACCTTGGAGGTGGAACTTTTGACGTTTCAGGTTTGAGATTCTTCTTGTTTGCATTTGCCCCCTCCCAAACCAATCTCCTCCTCCTCGTCCTCTTTCGGGGACATTTGTCATAAATTTCCCTCAACACCAATGTGGCATACATCCAGTTCATTGCTATCTTAATTAAAAAGAAATAGGATGGGAAATTTGCTATAGTTGGATACATCTTCACTTACGTATTGTACTTTGGTGAACTAGAATTACATAAATTATCAACCCGGCTTGCTGAATCTTGTTTCCAGTTACAAATATACATTAACAGTTGCTGCAATTTCAGATCTTTGGTCATATTTTTCCATTTTACATATCTGAATCACTCACCTTAGAAATGTGTTTATGAATGATGATAAATAGTTTTTAAATATTTTGGGTCTTGAAAATATTGCATTTTCTACGAAGATTTTTATGCATGCTATGAATATTTTAATGATATTTATCTTTTGTGCCTACGATTTCAGTTCTTGAGGTTGGCGATGGCGTGTTTGAGGTCCTGTCTACTTCTGGAGATACACATCTTGGTGGTGATGATTTTGATAAGGTTTGTAGTCTCTCTTGCTACTTCCGTTGAATGGCTTGTTACTTCATTTGCTTGGGCCTTTCTTTCATCAACACTCAATTGTTTGTTGCTAGTCTCTTAATACACTCTGTCATTCACGTATTATGAGCTTCATCCAGAGAATTGTTGATTGGCTGGCCTCAAATTTTAAGAAGGATGAAGGGATAGATCTTTTGAAGGACAAACAAGCTCTTCAACGTCTGACTGAGACGGCAGAGAAAGCTAAAATGGAACTGTCATCTTTGACGCAGACTAATCTTAGGCAAGTATATAGTTTTGTAACTTTTCGACACTTCTTGGCATAAATGCTGACTTTTTCCCCATTTCTTCACTAGTTTGCCTTTTATTACGGCCACTGCAGATGGTCCCAAACATATTGAAACTACTCTTACAAGAGCTAAGTTTGAGGAATTGTGCTCAGATTTACTTGACAGGTATTAGAAGCTGGATCAGCTTTTGAACTTGTTTATAATTTTTTATTGACTTAGTTTGCACAGAGCTTATTTTGAAGGTCTCTTTCTCTCTATTAGGCTAAAGAAACCTGTTCAAAATGCCTTGAAGGATGCAAAGCTCTCATTTACTGATATAGATGAGGTCATTCTTGTTGGTGGCTCAACCCGTATACCAGCTGTTCAGGAACTTGTTAAAAAATTGACTGGAAAAGACCCAAATGTTACTGTTAATCCAGATGAAGTTGTTGCCCTGGGAGCTGCAGTTCAGGTTGTCCTGTTCCCTCTTTAAACTGTCAGTGACATGTTACATTTTGTAGTTAAGGTTGTTATGATATCTTATCATCTTTCCACGTTATATACTTTGCTTAGGCTGGCGTTTTGGCTGGAGATGTCAGTGATATAGTTCTTCTGGATGTGACACCACTGTCTTTGGGGTTAGAAACTCTTGGAGGTGTGATGACAAAGATCATTCCAAGAAATACAACGTTGCCAACTTCAAAATCAGAAGTGTTCTCAACAGCTGCTGATGGTCAGACAAGTGTTGAAATCAATGTTCTCCAAGGTGAGAGAGAGTTCGTAAGGGACAACAAGTCGATAGGCAGCTTCCGTCTTGATGGAATTCCACCAGCCCCACGTGGAGTGCCTCAAATTGAAGTCAAATTTGACATTGATGCAAATGGCATCCTCTCTGTCAGTGCTGTTGACAAAGGAACTGGAAAGAAACAGGACATCACCATTACTGGTGCTAGCACATTGCCTGGTGATGAGGTACAAATATTTACCAACATAATCTAATGGTGAAATCATGGTTGGAAAAGTAATTAGCTTTTCACTAGCATCAACAAATTATTCTCTTGGCATTTTCTAATATAACACCTAAAGGAAATAATCATACCGTCAAGTACTCAATGAGCATTTATAGCATACACTAGTTTAGATCAATGCTGAGTTTACACATGTTCTGAATCAATCTACAGGTTGAGAGAATGGTTCAAGAAGCCGATAGGTTTGCGAAGGAAGACAAGGAGAAGAGAGATGCAATAGATACCAAAAATCAGGCTGATTCTGTTGTTTACCAGACCGAGAAGCAGCTGAAGGAACTTGGGGACAAAGTTCCTGGCCCCGTAAAAGAGAAGGTCGAGGCAAAACTTGGTGAACTGAAGGATGCCATATCCAGAGAATCAACCCAATCAATAAAGGACGCAATGACTGCTCTGAATCAAGAAGTGATGCAACTTGGCCAGTCACTGTATAACCAACCTGGTGCAGCTCCAGGTACCGGCCCAACACCTGGTGGTGATGCAGGCTCTTCAGAACCATCGGATAAGCGATCTGAAGGAGATGTCATTGATGCTGATTTTACAGACAGCAAATGAAACGGCAAGGCATATTAATACGAAGGTTATTAGAATTTTTTTACTTTGCATTTTCTTTCCAATGTGTACAAGGAATATTTTTGTTGGAATTGATCATGAGGTGTTTGAAAAATTTTAGGTAATAGAGGTTAAATGAGTTTTAATATGTTTGTTAAAAGGCAGATATTGTCAGCCTTAAGTGCATTTTAACGTATTTGTTGAGGATTCATAATGAACGAGTGACTTTGTAACTGCAAAATACAGTCTTTAGTTCGCTCGAGTGCTATTTCAATGTTATGTTTTTTGGAGTCCCCGGGTATTTAAATTTAGCTTTTTAATTTGACCGGTCGAGAATTTTGGAGAAGGAAAATGGAAGAAAATGAAAAACACAGCAGTTGGTTTCCTTCAAAATGAAATCCTAAAATTAGGATTTACACTTCCATTTTTCATATATACAAATATACAATTGCATCTTTACTGAGTTCCCTACAAAATTGAAACCAAAAAGAGCTTTACAGTTCATTACTTTTCATCTTTCAAATTGCGTCGATTAGATATTTACATCCTTCAATTTGCTCTGTTAATAGTTGAGCTAGTCAGTTCTATTGTCCTTCCCATGCCCTTAAGATGCTATAGCCGTGCTGGGCACTCAAGGGAGTTGGACTTAAGCTCAGACTTGCTGTCCTGTCAATCATTCTTCTATCCAAACCATGGCTACCGTCATCATAATGCATACATCTAGTACAACATCCGCTTCCTCGGTTATGCCAGGGTATAGAATAGTAGTTATAGCGGCAATGATTAACTTGGTACTTTACTCCCTCGGCTCGTCCTATAGACCTTATTGAGATGAGCCTTTCAGGTGCACCATAGCCGTGGGTATCAGTAGGTGGTTTGCTGGACTGATAGTTAGGTTGAGGAGATTGAACCAAATTCTGGTAATGGTTGTGGGAATGCAGAGCGGAGTGGCTGGTTTGCTGTGGTATATTTGGGTTGCATATGCTAGGTGAGCTCTAGACTCCGTGCATTTTCATTCCGCCCGTTTTGTGACAACTCTGAAGCGGGCTTTCATGGTGCATGGCTTTGGTAGTGCTGCTCTCGGGTGATCTTGGGGAGGAGCATGCCGAGGAAATAAAGTCCCACGTTGTCCTACGATGATAGTTGGACAGGGTTTTGCGCTACGTGATGTGGCACGGATTATGCCATTGATGGCATCAATGTATCGTAGCTCAAGTTCATCATGTTCTGTGGATGCCATTTGGTTCTCAATTGCTGCAGGGTTTGCAGGGAACAGGAAAGCTCGAAGTTTTGGGCTTCCTGAACTTTCATAACGATCGTGCTCATTGAACATGCGGCTTAGATCTTCATCAGATTTCACCGACACTAGGGCATCAAGGTCCTCTTGGAGTAACTGATACTTCAGGAGCATTTCACCATGAATCTGGTAAGTGAGTTTCGTCATAATTTCTATACATAATAAGAACACGAAGCATGTTATTTTGTTTGGAAGCAACAGAAGTCTGATTGTACTCTCTTTTCGTGCATTGATCTTTGTGAGCAAGAAATACCCATCTTTCTGCTAACAGGATGTATTTATTATTTATATGCAGTAGTTAATGATGAGTACTAGAACTAAAAGTTGATATCAGATGAAGAAATGCTTGCTCTAATGTTCCTAAACCATCAAATATATATGTTTTGAATCTCTCTCTATATAAATTGTACATAGCTTTGGTCGATTTGGAAGGATTCATTATTATGCAGACCAAAGAAACTGCATTCGCAGGCTCATAAGCGAAGTCTTCTTAACCAATGCAGTTGAATATAATCATCCTTCTTTAAATGGAGCGCATTCAAATCTACACATTTTCTCATAGCCGGTCCCAACCCTCAGTAGCGGAAGGAGGGTTATGATAGGTTGACTAGCATAAGAACTTTATCATATCTCATAACATAAATCTCGATACGCGGGTTTGATTCCAAATTTATTATGAACAAGACTTATTGTTGTCAGTGGCAGATCCATGAATTTAGGTGACCATTAGTTACCCAATACAAGGAAAATGAAAATTTGTTGCGAAGCCAGCACTGGTGGCCGCAAGGGTTCGCTGGATGCTAGCTTTACCCTTGGTGGTGGTTGTTGGATTTTCGTTCCAAATTTTTATGTAGAAACAATGGCAAGTTTAGAAAAGAAAATCATTAAAGAATCCCGTTTTCATTTTTTATCTTGTTTTAACACATCAGGGTAGCCACGGAGGCTGGCTAGTCAAATGCAGATTGCCATATACAATGAAAACTTACATATTACCTTGGAAACCGATGTCGTGAGGTACAGAAATGACCAGGATTTTGCCACCAACGTACTTAAGGTGCCCATCGACCGGCCGGGGAAGAATCTTGTCACAATGGCAGCGCAAGAATTTTATCTTATTCTTGGTTGAACCGGGCACAGAACTACTAGAATTCATTGTGTTTTCCATAATGACACCTTCTGTTGACATGTTAGAATTACTTCACCGGCAGGTCGGGGCGAGGCGGGTGTAATATTTAACTAGAACATGCAAAGAGGGGACTTAGATATAAACAGTCAGATTCAAAGATTCAAATGAGAGAAAAATGGAAGCTAGAGAAAGAGATGGTCAGTAATTAATAAACAATAAACACTGATTGAGGTTGATTTTCTATTTTTACCCACACCTCAGCGGCTCAGCCTCTCTTTCTGTTGCTTGATTTCCTCCTGGATACAAGGGTCGAATGAATTTTGGAGTAATGCTATTTAGCCTTGTTGGAAGTGTTCAGTCTAAGTGGCGTTAATGTGACATTAATTAATAGGTGAAATTAAATAACTTATTTAAATAATTTATTTAATTTTACCTTTCATTCCGTCCATCATCTAGTGCTACCTAAACTAGGATTGCAATCACACTAAACCTACATAGCATTACTCTAAATTTTGGGTCCTACAAACCAAAAGAGGAAGGCTCTGTTTGGTAAGGAATTCATAACTTTTCAACCACATATTTCATTAACTTTTATCAAAATTTACTAAAAATTTGATTTTAATGTGGGATTTTGGTTCTTAATAAAATATACAAATTTATTGACTTCTTTCTTTTGTTCTCTAATATATAATACGTTACTAATACAAATCTCTAAAAAGTATAGCAAATTAATTAGAAAATAGTAATAATTTTCTATGTTGTTTAAACTCTTAAATCCTATACCACACAACATCGTTCTAGCTCAATAATTTTCTCTCATTGTGTCATGTACGCACTATTTAATGCAAATTAGCTCCCCGGGGTATAATTTAGTGGTCAAAGAATAGGAGTAAGGTAGTCTCAACTTTACTGGCAACCACAGTATAATGGTTCGATTTCTGAGATATGAAATTAGACTCTTTTGTGGGCACCAGTATTCAGACAAGCTTTTGTTCCCTGACCTATTGGGGCACATATCACGATTTACCCCCCTCATAAAGATCTAGGGACGGAGCGCTGGGGGCTCTCAAGGTTGAGGTTCAACCTTTTTATTTAATGCAATTTGATTGTTTGGTAAAAGTTAACGCTAAGAAAAACACAATGCTTGTTCAGTGGTGATTATGAGAATTGATTTTTTGATCGTTAGAGTCTTAGAGAGAAAGATGGGTCCCACATGTGGAAAAAAATCAAAAATGATGGTGGAAATAGTGAAATAATAGTCAAAAATTTATTTTCTTTGGGGTGAAAAATTAATAGTACACAATAGACAGAGTAAGTCAGAGAGAGAGACTGGGGGAAAGAAAAAGACACACAGTAGTGCAGGTTTAGGTTCTATTGATGATGATGTCATGAGTAGCCCACATGGGATATTGGACCAAAGAATTATGTTGGTTGTACAGAAGGAAGCGTCCAAAAGCAATGCGTGAAGATGATTTGGTGAGAAATGATTGGAAGAAAAAATTGATTGTATTTTAAATTGACAAATGATAAAGTACCACATGTTATTATCTAAATTTTTATGTCAATCTTGATGTACATATAACAAGATCCTTGAACCAAATACGACGATAGTAAATGCAGTAAACTCATTGTGGGCAACTAGTGTTAGGCATGGGTTGGGTTGGTTTTTTAATCCATTCTAAATTCAAATCCGACATGATCGATTTGATATAAAATCAAATTAATTAAAATCCAACACAACCCAAAACGATCAAGCTTGGGTTGGGTTGGTCAGTTTGGGCTTGGGCCCAATTCATGTTGGATTTTGTTATTTTTTGTTGAATTTGAACAATTTTTAAATTTTGAAAATGCTTGAAAATCTCCATTATTTTCAACCTATATATGGAATTCTTTCTAAAAATTAATTTATAAATAAGCTTAAAACTATGGAGCACTTTCTTTTTAGGGTTTTTTGGAATTTATTTATTTCATTATTATATCTTTAATTAGTTTAATGTTATATTATTTTGCGTTTGTATATTTTATTCATACAAATCAACCTATGTAAAAAAAAAAAAAAAATGGACGTTTGAACATTCTAAATTTTTCTCTTGTATCCACTATTGTGTTTATGCAAATTTTTTCATTTTAGGTATTAAAAATTTTATTTCATCGGGTTGAGTTGGAATGAATAAGTTATAATTTATAACCCGAGAACCTGTTGGAAAAAATGGTAATGAAATGGGTCGACTTTGAGCCCAAATTTAAGTGGGATCCACCTTTTAATTAATACGGGATCTAACAGATTCACGTTCTACTCCGCGAGATGATTAACGTGATATATTTATTTATCGAAAACCATTTAAAATTGAATGAAATATTAAGTGTTAAAGTAACCCACATAAACTAAGTATTATAGAAGAATTTGATTTTTCAAACACTTATCCCACATAGAAAAGTTAGGAAACTTTGATGTGGTTTATAAGGTGGAAGTTTGGAATTGGGTTTGGGCCCCAAGGGGTACCAATAGTCTTTGGAAGAGGGAAGACCTATATCCTATTGGGTTCGGTCATAAACCCACACGCGCGCGCTGCCGTTCGTCCGACCGGCCGATCGGCTCGGCTCGACACGTGTCCGAGTTCGGTGCGAGTGGACCTTTGCACTAAATTAATTTTTTGGACAAAATTTTGGGCCAAATTGTAAATAATCAAATTCATGGGTACATTATGAAATTTAAATTTTGGCTTATTCCGGGTGTTTTATTTTCTTTTAACAGTCGTCTGTTTACCGACCAAACAGTCGACTGTTAACCGACTTAAATACACGACTTTTAAAATAGTATGTCTGTTCCGATTTTTGAGGTTTGTCTAAAAGGTGATGACTGTTCGAATGGCCACGAACAAGTTTATAAATAGCCAGCTTCTACCAGAAAATTCACACCATTTTCATTGCAAACTTTCTGTGCTTTGAATCTCATTCCCCTCTCTCTCGTTCTGATATTGTCTCGAAGTAAAACACACTTCGTTGAGTTCGTTGGAACTCCTGCAGATTGCAGTGCTGCTTCTGTAGGAGACGAAAATTCGTTCTATCCTGGGAAACGATTGCTGGACGCCTTTAACACCATTGAAGGCAGCAAATTCGTTTTAAGGAAATATCGTGAAGTCGGTGGGCTCGAATTACTTTTTGGATCCTGTTGATCAATTCTTCACATTCAGGTGATTCTGTCGAATTGGTTTCGAAGGAGTAACGTTAAACTCTAGAAACAATAATCTTAAAACGAATTTGCTTATTATTTTGTTTCTGTTTCTACTCCTTCTTACCGTTGATTTTCTGATTGTGTTTCATAATTGGTAACTTCTGGTACCACACTCCCGAATACCACCGGGGAAAAATCAGAAAAGTTTAATGGTTCAGATTTCAAACGTTGTCAACAAAAAATGCTCTTTTATCTGACAACGTTAAATCTGACTAAATTTCTCAAAGAATACGCGTCTTCATATACTGAGCAAGACAGTGATGCTAAAAAATTGGCTGCGGTTGATGCATGGAAGCATTCTGATTTTTTGTGCAGAAATATGTACTTAATGGACTGGATAATACATTATATAATGTATACTGCAATGCTAAGTTCGCAAAAGAACTGTGGGAATCTTTGGACACAAAATACAAAACCGAAGATGCCGGCACAAAGAAATTCATTGTCGGTCGTTTTTTGGACTATAAAATGATTGACAACAAGACTGTCATATCCCAAGTTCAAGAACTTCAAATCATACTTCGCGACATCCATGCCGAAAGAATGAAACTAAGTGAATCATTCCAAGTCGCTACACTGATTGAGAAATTACCACCTTCATGGAAGGATTTCAAGAATTACCTAAAATACAAGCAGAAGGAAATGAAATTTGAAGATATCATTGTCCGATTGAGAATAGAAAAAGGCAATCGCAAAACTGAAAAAAGGAATGGTGCATCTCATTCGATGGAATCAAAAGCCAACATCGTAGAAAGAGGCTTCAAGACTAGCAAAAAGAGGAAGCACAATGGGGAAGGACAAATTGGTTCTTCAAAAACTACTAAAAAGTTCAAAGGCAACTATTGCAATTGTGGCAAGACAGGACATCGATCCAAGGATTGTCGAAAGTCAAAGAATGTAAAGGGAAAAACTCAACAGGCCAATGTAACAGAACATGAGAACCTCACTGATAAGGTACAAGACATGAATCTTTATGATGTCGTCTCTGAATGTAACTTAATTGGAAACACTAATGAGTGGTGGGTGGATACTGGAGCTACTCGTCACATATGCTCAAACCGCAGGATGTTCTCTACCTACAAAGCAATGGACATGATGAACATCTCTACATGGGAAACTCGTCATCTTCCAAGGTAGAAGGACATGGGAAGATAGTGCTGAAAATGACAAGTGGAAAAGAGCTCACTCTGAATGATGTTCTTCATGTGCCCGATATTAGAAAAAATTTGGTATCTGGTTCTCGACTAAGTAAGAACGGGTTTAAGCTAGTATTTGTCTCGGACAAATTTGTACTCTCAAAAAATGAAATGTTTGTAGGAAAGGGCTACCTGAATGAGGGGCTCTTTAAGTTGAATGTAATGACTGTTGTACCTCCAATTATGAATAAGAATACATCTTTTTCTTACTTGCTTGAGTCATTTAACATTTGGCATGAACGATTAGGACATACAAATTATAACACTTTGCGTAGACTAATCAAATTAGATTTATTACCAAAGTGTGATTTAAATCCTAATCACAAATGCGATATATGTGTAGAAGCCAAAATGTCACGTCTACCATTTCGTTCTGTTGAAAGAAGTACGAACCCCTAGATTTAATTCACACCGACATATGTGATTTAAAATTTGTTCAAACTAGGGGAGGTAATAAGTACTTTATCACTTTTATCGATGATTGTACTCGATATTCCTATGTGTATTTGCTCAAAAGCAAAGACGAAGCAATTGAAGTGTTTAAACACTACAAGTTAGAAGTTGAAAATCAACTTAGCAAAAAGATTAAGGCCATAAGAAGTGATAGAGGTGGTGAATATGATTCACCATTTGAGAAATTCTGTTCGGAACACGAAATTATTCACCAAACTACCG